TTGGAACAGTTCCAGTGCTTGGCGCAACTTGTCGTTGTTCTGGTAGACGTGAATCTTCCACTGCTGGATGCAGGTGCCGGTGCTTGCGTGGAGGTAATCCAGCAGGGCCCATGCATCTAGAAGGCTCAGTATGTAAGGGCACAGGACTTGCGACATCAAGTGCAGAAGCGTGCTGCAGTGGCGGTTTGGGTGGTGGTTGATGAGTCTGCTTGGGTTTTGCGTTTTTTCGTGCGTTCTTTTCCTTTTTCGTTCGTTGTTTTGCCTGCCGCTATTCGTGGTGCTTCTTGCTTGTTGGTCGCGTGGCTTGCTGTGGCCTCGGGACGCATTCGTGGTGGGTGCTGTTCGTGAGAGTGGTGTTGGCTTGAGAGGTTTGTTTGGAGGTGTTAGTGTCGTTTCGGTTCTGTCTGTAACTGATTCTAATTGTTTTGGTTGGGTTGCTCTCTGTGGTTTTGCGATGGCAGCGGCTTGGTGTGTGTTTCGGTATGTTACCCATCCGATGGCTCCACGTGGATGAAAAAATGGCAGGGTCGGTTGAATGCACTGGACGTCGCTCAGGTAGAGCGCAAACGTGTGTGCGTAGGGCAGGGCGTTGTTCTGCATTCCGTGTCGTGACTGGGTTTGGATGAACGTCTTGATGCACAGTTTCTCGCAGTGCGTTATTGTGGCCTTGCCGTGGATGTGTTTTGCGTGACCTAGCCAGACGGGTCCTGGTTGGGCTCTCTGACCTCTGAGTTCGATATCCTTGTATCCCTGGAGTATCATGTCGAGCCATTTTTTGTTCAGGATGATGATGCGGTCGTTGTGTTGTGGAGCTTGATCTTGGCATTTGCGCGTTTGATGTAGTGTAGAATTGCTGGCATGGGTTTGGGTTACTTGTGCGCGCATTGTTGTCGTGGGTGGATGCGCCGGGTTCACGTGCTTCGGTGGACGGCATCTGTGAATGGAACGTGCTTCGAGCCGGGTCTGTGGTGTCGTGCGGGGTACATGTGTGCGAGATCGTGTTTTGTTTACATGAGTGAGTGGTTGTGCGTGTGTTTTTAGTTTGCATGTGTGTTAATTTACGTTTTATGGCATGCGTTGCTACTTTTGTTTTTTTTTTTGCTCTGCTAGGGAGACGGGCTTCTTTTCTGGCTGATCTGTTGGTGGTGGAGTCTTGTGCTTGCCGCGGTGTCTGTCGGTGTGTCTGCGAGGGCTTGTGCCACGTCGTGGGCTTGTGTCTCTTTTCGTTTTTTGTGCGTTCTGCTTCGAGGGGAAAGGTCTTTTGCGTTGAGTCGGTATCGATGAAACAGGCTCGGGTGCGAGAGAGGGCAGTATTGCATGGGTTGTTCTGCTTTTCTTACGTTGGTGAACGTTACTGCGAACATTTGCCTGGCTTCCGGCGGTTCCTCTTGGTGGTGTGCTTCTTGGAGGTCTTCGAATTCTTCCATGGTGATTTCTCGTACGTTTTCGATAGTGGCCCTTGCTCTGATCTGCGCGTCGCTTGCCAGCCATAGAGACTTAGGTTTGACGGCAGTGCCTATGACAATCATGTTTTTCTCGCCGGAGAGGATATTTTTTAGAGTCGTGTGGGAGAGTGCGAGTATTTGATCGCCGATGTCGGGCTTTTTTTTGCTGTCTTTCCGTTGTTGTCGTTTGAGACATGCCAGTGCTGTTGGTGACTTGTGAGCTGTGGAGTCTGTTTCTTCCTTCTTGTTCAGTGTTTGGAGGAGACCGGTCGTGTCGTTACTGGATGTTGTGGAACTGCTGTCCTGAGCTATATAGCAGTTGTTGTTGTAGATGTTAGTGAAGCTTGGGGTATCATGTGTGTGTGTGTGTGTGCGTGTTGGCGTGTGCGTGTGTGCGTGTGCGCGTGTGCGCGTGTGCGTGTGCGTGCGCGTGCGCGTGCGCGTGTGCGTGCGCGTGAGCGTGTGTGCGTGCCCGTGTGAGCGTATGAGCGTGTGAGCGTGCGCGTGTGCGTGTGTGCGTGTGTGCGTGCGTGCGCGTGTGAGCGTGTGAGCGCGTGTGCGTGCGCGTGAGCGTGTGTGCGTGTGTGTGTGTGTGTGTGTGTGTGTGTGTGTGTGTGTGTGTGTGTGTGTGTGTGTGTGTGTGTGTGTGTGTGTGTGTGTGTGTGTGTGTGTGTGTGTGTGTGTGTGTGTGTGTGTGTGTGTGTGTGTGTGTGTGTCTGTGTGTGTGTGTGCGTGGGTACGATCTTGTTCGTGGATAGTGCTGCTGAGTGTCTGATTGTCGAGCGGTCATGCAAATTGGATTCTTACATCAGTGGCTTGACTTGCTTTAGGTTGTGTAGTTTTTGCCTAGTATTTGTTTGATGTGCGGGATTGATTGTTGTTTTTGCTTGGTGTGGTTATGTTTTGTGCGCTTCGTTAGTCGTTATTGTTAAAGTCGTGTGTGCGTGTGTGTATGTGTGTGTGTGTGCACATATGTGTTTCTGAATGTCCTCTGTGAATTCTTGTCATGTAATGTTAGAGTGTGTGTGTGTGCGTATGTGTGTATGTGTGCGGGTGTGGGTGTGTGTGTGTGTGTCTGCATGTGTTTGTGCGTGTGTGTAATCTGCTGCTTTCATATCTGGTTTTAGCTTTGCGAGCAGTGTAGAGTTTTGGTGTGAGTGCTTGTTTTGGGAGAGTGAACGTTCATGCGTGTAAGCGTACGTCTGGCTGTTTGTGTGCGTGGATGTGTGTGTGTGTGTGTGTGTGTGCGTGTATGTGCTTGTGTGTGTGTGTGTGTGTGTGTGTGTGTGTGTGTCTGTGTGTGTGCGTGCGTGCGTGCGTGGAAGTGTGTGTGTGTGTGTGCGTGTATGCGTGTATGCGTGCGCTCGTGCGTGCGTGCGTCCTCTGAGTGTGTGTGTGTGTGTGTGTGTGTGTGTGCTTGCGTGTGTGCTTGCGTGCGTGCTTGCGTGCGTGCATGCGTGTGTGTGGGTGTGTGCGTGTGTGTGTTGGTGGATGGGTGTTTTGTGTGTGTGTGTGTGCGTGCGTGCGTATGTGTGTGTGTGTGTGCGTACGTGCGTTGGTGCGTGCGTGCGCGCGTGTGTGCGTTTGTGCGTGTTGTGCGTGTTGTGCGTGCGTGTGTGTGCGTGTGTGTGTGTGTGTGTGCGTGCAGTATAACTGTGCGTTTGGCATTTGCCTTTTTTTCTGTTCTTGTTGGGCTGTTGTTTGGGTAGCGTCAGATGGGAAATGAGGCTGCAGATGTGCTTGTACTCTTCACGTGTTCCGCGTGTTCCGTGTAGCTTCGTTGTTTTTGCTGGTGCCTTTAGTTGTGCTTTTCTGCGAAAAGGTCATTGAAGTCGTACTTTCCCTCGATCATTTTTTCGCACGTTGCGGCTGCTCCCGCGGGCATGGATATGTGGAAGAGCGCGTGTTGGAGAAGCAGGTGGAGGCGGACCACGCCGATTCCCTTCTCACTGAGCTTGTCGAAGCGGTGCTGATTTGAGCTTTGTGCTGTGTCCACAATTGCATCCCAGCAGTTTTCGCAGACGCCGGTTCTAGTGTACTCGCGGAGTCCTTCAGTGGAGTAGTGGGGCTTGTCTTGGCTGCTGCAGCAGATGCAGGTGCCGTTGGAAACGTGTTCTCCGATGTTGAACTGTTTTGCCAGGACTGTTTTGAGTTTGACTATGTCTGGTCTGTTGAGTACGCGCATTGTTTGCATGGTGCAGGCGTTTTGAGACGGAAACTGGTCGTGCGAGGAGTGTTTTAACTGCTGTGTTGCTGTGAGCCGAGGTTGATGCGGGGCGTTTTTTTTTGTTTTCGTTTGGGTTGCTGGATGCTTCGTGTTCGGTGATGTGATTGTAGGTTGACGCTGTAGCTAGTCGCGTGTTTTAGCTTCTTTTTTATGTTTGGGTTGGCTGGGGCCTCAGGATGTTTTCTGTTTCTTTTCTCGCGTTTTTGTCGTTGAGAGACGTGGCTTGGTGAGACTTCGTCACATGAGACACAGCTTAACGGCATGGTTTTTGCCAGGCTTGGTGAAGTTGGCTTGTTTCTGTTGCAGGAGGTCGTTGGGATGCACTTTTCTTGTAAGTACTTTGCGGGCTAGTTTCGATTGCAGCGGAAAGAGGCACACGTGAAATTGGTTGGCTGTTATGGTTTCTCGTAGTCGAATCAGTTGCACTGCCGTGGCGGAGAGTCGGCCGAGTGGTTGATGTGGTCGCTGCATGAGTAGGGTGTCGTAGCAGTATTCGCAGAGTTTGGTTCTTTGGTGGATTGCTTCACCTGCGGTGCTGTACCACATCTGTGCGTAGGGAGGATTGCAGGCGATGCATTCCTTGCTGTTAGGTTTGCTTCTCGTTGTTTCCAGCAAGCCATCGAGTGCTTGCTCGAGTCGTGCGATTTTTTCGGCGTTAAGGCATCGCACTGGGAAGATGTTGTGGTGGGGACAGCACGAGACGGCCATGGAGTCGGTGAGTTGTGGTGTTTTGCTGGTTCTGCCAGGATGAGTGTGAGGAGGTGAGTGTGATTGTTTGGCATGCAGGCTGGATGCATTGTTGTTTTGTTCTTTTGCTTTTGTATTGTGCGATGTTGTACTTACTTGAAGTGTGTCGGGTTTTTTAGCTTGTCTGTGATGCTGACAGCTGCGTGAAACGGAATAATTTGCACACGCGTGCGTCCTTGTGTGTGTGGGTGTGGACATGAGTATGGGTATGGGCATGGGCATTTGTGTGTGCGTGCGTGTGTGTGTGTGAGAGAGACAGAGTGTTCTATATATGTGTATGCATGCTTGTGTGTGTGTGTGTGTGCGTGTCCATGTGCGTGTGCGTGCTTGCGTGCGTGCGTGCGTGCGTGCGTGCGTGCGTGCGTGCGTGCGTGCGTGCGTGCGTGCGTGCGTGCGTGCGTGCGTGCGTGCGTGCGTGCGTGCGTGCGTGTGCGTGTGTGGGTGTGTGTGTGTGTGTGTCTGTGTTCAAATGGACTTGTGTCACTATCCGTTCATGTTGTTGTTGGGAGTTCTTGTTTTCATTTTTTTTCTTCTTGGCAAAGCAGCTCTTGTTGTCGGGAACGGGTCTCGTGTCTTGAGGCTCAGTTGCTCGTGGTCTTTGCTGGGTAGATGTTGTCGAGTGTCAAGAGCCAGCTGAGCATGGAGTCGTTCCTTTCTTTAATGTTGTGATGGAGCAGCACTGGGATGTTTTGGAGTGTCTCTTCGAGCATTGTAAGGACTTCTTGTTGTCCTTGGGCGTCGTTTTGCACTTGTAGCAAAATGCCGGGTTCCTCTTTTGGCTTTACTGGTTGCGGTGCCCGTGGTGGATGACGGTGCTGTAAAACCTCAAAGTTCCGCAGAAACGGAACTGCTCCTCCGCGAAAGAGCAGGCTGTACTGATGCTGTTTGTGGCTCAAGATGCACACAAGATGTCGGTGACCTTGCGGTGACGGGACTGCGAACAGCCTTTCTTTGTCGGGTGAGTTTGATTCTTGGATGAGGTGCCATTGTGGCACTGTGAGTTTGGGCAGGGGGAGATTGTGCATGTTGTTGTTTCGTACGTGGAGTTTGGGCGAGGAGTTGGTGTGGCCGGTGATCAGGTTGTGTTTCAGGGAGTTGTGCAGGAGTTGGAAGAAGGTGTCGAGTGAGCTCTCTTGGACGTAGAAGACGGGTCGGTACGGAGTGAGGTTGGTGTGGTTCGGGTCGTTTTCTCGGTTGTTTGATGTTGTGCTCTGGAGAATTCGGATGCCTCCGCGTCTGTCGAGGCTGTCGATGTCTCGGTGGCGCTCGGATGCATTGTTTTGCAGGTATACTTTGATCATTTTCAGGAATCTGCCGTCGGAGGAATTGGGGATGTCGTGATCGAGCTGGATTTGCCAGAGTCTTTCTTGGAGTGGTGCTTGCAGAAAGCAAAAGGCGGCGCTGCCCCAGTGGGTCATCGTGGCGGTGAGCGTGTGCTGCATATTGGCATTCGTTGTGTTCATTGTGACGCGGTGGTTCGTTTTTGGTTTGGTAGTCTTTGGCGTTAGATGGGTCGAGGATTTGTGGATGGTGCTTGAGCTTGAAATGCATGTTTTTGTAGGTGTGTGTGTGTGTGTGCGCGTGCGTGTGTGCCTGTCTGTGTGTGTTTGCGTGTGTGTGTGGGTGGGTGGGTGTATCCTTGCCGTTTTTTTGCGTGTCGTGAGTCACAACTAGTGACTAGTGAGTGCATCTATGTTCTCTAGTATGTTTAGTTGGTATTCGTGTGTATGGGTGTTAGATTTGTGTAGTGCCTTTTTCGCATTTATGAGTACATGGAAAGACAGTGACTGTTTGGGGTCTGTGTGGTGTGTGTGTGTGTGTCGGCGCTTCTATTTCTGTTTTGCTCACGTAGTGCTTCTGTCTTGACTCGCCTGTCGGTTCCGTTTGAGTGTTGACCTGGGCGTGTGCAGCGCAGTGAGTTTTGCTGGATTTGGTGAGACTGAGAGTGGTCTTTTACTGTACTTGTGCTCGTGTTGCTGATGCATGTGTGCTGGTGTGTCAGTTCTCTTCGAACGGGGTGGGTGATAGAATGAAGTTGCTTTGTGACAGAATCCACTTAAGCAGTGGGTTGTTCTTGTCGTGGAGGTAATGAAAGAAGTACACTGGCATGTTGTGGAACACTCGTTCCATGAGTGATGTTATTTTTTGGCGGCCTTCTTCCGTGTCGGTCACTTTGAGGATTCTCACGTATTGTCGCTTCTCTGTGGGGTCTGTGCTGGGTGCAAAGCCTCCCTGGATCTTGTGCGAATCCAGTCGGTCACGGAAGAGGTACATGCCGCCCATGAGCATGAGGGCGTATTCATCGTCCTCGGCTGCTTCCAGCTGGCAGAGAATGTGCCGACGTCCGCGTGGAGGAAGAACTTTGAAGACGCTTGGCAGCCATTCTGGGTCGGTGTGGATGAGTTGCCATGGCTCTGGAAGTTCGTCTTCGCTTTGTAGCCAGTCCCTTGTCTTGCTCTGTACTTGAAGACTCGGAACTTCGAGGAGATGGGCCATCTCGACTTTGTACTTCAGGATGCGATGAACCAGATCGAAGAAGTGTGTCAGTTTGTCTCCTGCCACGTAGAATACGGGCCTCCAAGGAATGAAGTTCATGTTATCGGGGTCGTTGTCTGCGACCTGCTGGCTTGGTGCCCCATTTAGGATTCTGATCTTTTGCTGCTCTTCGAGTCCCTTCGTGTCGATGATGTTGCTGTCCGGATGGTTTCTGAGCATGTCGTTTACGATTGTTACCAGCTTGAAGCTGAAGTTGTTGTAGCCGGCGTGGTCGATCTGAATCTGCCAGAGTTTGGTGCTGGACGGAGTGTTGTCGAAGCAGAAACTCGCGCTGCCCCAGAAAGTTACCGTTGCGACGAGGTTCTGTGTTCCTGTCGTATCGGAGTCTGAAGTGGAGCGGTAACGGCTGTTGGGGGCTTGCACTTGAACTTCACACGCTTGGATGCGTCGCTTGGGCATGTTGAGGAATGGGCTGTCTGGATTCGTCTTGAGTTGTGACGTTGCGGTTAGAGAGGTTCTCTTGTGGCTGTGTGCACGAGTGTGCGTGCGTATACTGTGTGTGTGTGTGTGCATGTGTGTGTGTGTGTGCTAGTATTAAATGTTTTTTGTTTGTCTGTGTGTGTGTGTGTGGGTGTGTGTGTGTGTGTGTGTGTGTGTGTGTGTGTGTGTGTGTGTGTGTGTGTGTGTGTGTGTGTGTGTGTGTGTGTGTGTGTGTGTGTGTGTGTGTGTGTGTGTGAGTGTGTGTGTGTGTGTGTGTGTGTGTGTGCGTGCTTGTGTGTGTGTGTGGGTTTGTGTGTGTGTGTGTATGTCTGTGTGTCTGTGTGTGTGTGTGTGTGTGTGTCTGTGTGCGCGTGCGTGTGATGATTTTCGTCTGTGCATGTGTTGGCACGCGTTCTGTTTCTGTGCGGGTGATGATTTGAGGTTGACTCTATTGTATCCTGATTGGTGGACGGTTCATTACTTGTGGAGCAGGTCAAAAGTGGCACTCTCCTAGGATGACGTTGTCTTGACGGACCATCCATGCAGCGAACTCGTCGTCTGGTTCGTCAGTGGCATCGATGAAGAAGACGGGCAGGTTGCAAAGTACGTTGACAAGTACGTTGAGCACTGCTTGCTGTCCGACGGTGTTGAAATCAATGCTAAGCTGTCTAACGTATACTGGCTTGACGTTTTCTGCGTTTTCTTTGTCTGGCGGTGCCATTCCTGCGGGGATTTGTTCTTTGTTGAAGAGCATCCGGTATGGGTAGAGGTTGCCGTAGAACGTGAGAATGTACGTGCTTTTTTCGGTGTTGCATCGGTTGAGCTGGCACAATACGTGTTGTCTGGTGAGCGGCGGGAGTGCACGGAAACATGCGAGTTGGTTCATGTTTGGGTGGCATCGGAGTTGCCACGGCGCTGGTGGCGGGTCTGGCCATGGCCATTCATTGGTTCGAATCACCAGTGGGGGTGTGCCGCTCCACTTGCCGCATGTGTGTTGATGCTCGACAATGTGTCCGATTAGTTCGAGTATGCCTGCGGGATTCTGGCCTTTGCCGTAGATTACTGGTTGCCATGGAACGTAGTCCATTCCGTGGGGATCTGCCTGTCCGCTGGTGGGGGGTGCTCCAGTCAGGATCTTGATGTGCTTGTTTATTTCCAGGTTTTTGAGATTTCGCGTTTTTGGGTCGGGGTGGGATTTAAGGGCCTCTGTTGCATTGTCGAGCAGCATGTATCCGAGAGACTGGCGTGCGTCGTGGTAGATTCTTGCCTGCCATAGCGTGTTCTCTGGGTCTCTCCAGTCTGCACGTTCCAGCAGTTCGGGGAAAACGAAGGCTGCGTTTCCCCACTTACGGACGGTCACAAGGATTTCGTTGTTTGCTGGGTTGCTCTCTTCGTCGTTGAAGCTCTTTGTGAGATTGACAGAGCTGGCGTGGACTCGACGCTTCATGGTTGTGCTTTTGGCGTCATGTGTTTGATCCGATTCTTGCGAGCGGTTGGATTTGTTAACGCGAGATGCGTGTGACAGAAGACTAGTTGACTAGTTGGTTGTGTTTCGTGTATTTTCATACTTACGTGTGCCTTGCGTTGCTGTGTTGCTCAGGGCTTTTTGCTATTTTACGCATTCGATGTGTTCTGAGTGGTCGCGCTATGCCGTGCGGTTGTCGGCTCACTGAGTGGTGGTGATTGAAGAGAAGGCTGACGTGGAAAAGGAGTGTGAGTGCCTATTCATGGATTACGTCTGTGTGTTTATATTTTCCCTTTTGTAGTGAGCCGTTTGTTAGTGTGTTGTGTTTTTTTGTGTAAGTACCCTCTTGTGTGTTTTGTGTTGTGTGTATTGTGTTTGTACGCTTACATGTGGGTGCAATGTATGGGCTTCGTGACTTTGTATGTGTGGTGATTTTTGTCTGTGTGTGTGTGTGTGTCTGCGTGTGTGTGTATGTGTGCATGGGCGTGGCCGTGAGGGTGTGTCTGTCTGTGTGGTGTGTGTGTGTGTGTGTGTGTGTCTGTGTGCATGTGTGTGTGTGTGTGTGTGTGTTTGAGTGTGTGTGTGTGTGTGTGTCCGAGTGTATGTGTGTGTGTGTGTGTGTCTGAGTGTGTGTGTGTGTGTGTCTGAGTGTGTGTGTGTGTGTCTGAGCGTGTGTGTGTGTGCTTGTGGCAGTGTGTGTGTGTGTGTGTTTGTCCTTGTGGCAGTGTGTGTGTGTGTGTGTAATGTGTTTGCGTGCGTGCTCGAGCAATAATTAATTAAAAATTATTGAATAATAAGTTAATAATTCAGTAATAGTTACTTATTAATTAATTATTAATTAATTAATGATTAATTAATAATTAGTTAATCATTAATTAATAATTAATTAATGAGTAGGTAATAATTAATTAGAAATAATTAATCAATAATTAACTACTATTTAAACATGAATTAATTAATAATTAAACAATAATTCACAAGCAAATCAATTAATAACTAATTAATAATTGATTGATAGTATTTTAATTGAATTAATAATATGATTTATTAATTAATAAAAAAGTAATTAGTACCGTTATGAATTAATTAAAATTAATTATTAATTAAACTAAATATAATTAATTAATTAAATAAATAATTAATAATAATTAATTGTTAACTAATAATTAATTATCATTAATTAATAATTTAATTAAAAGTAAATTAATAATTTGTTGAGATTAATACATATTTAATTAATAATCCATTAACAAGCAATTAATAATTAATTAGTAAAAATTGAAAAAAAAAAATTATTACATTTACTTAATTATATTCATAAATTAGAAATTCATTATTAATTATTCATAACTAATTGATAATTAACCATAAAAAATATATATTTTTAATTCATTAAAAATTAATTATTAATTAATTATTAATTATTAATTAATAATTAATCAAGTAATTGTTAATTTGAGTAATTTATTTCTAATGATTATTTTAATAAAAACTAATTATTTGATTTTATGATTAATTATTGATTAATTAATTACATTTGAATTAATTATTGAATTGTTATTAATAATTATTAATTTATTAATCAATATTAATTAATATTCATTAATAATTAATTCATTAATACTAATTATTAATTTAATAATAATACTTAGTTTGATTTAATTATTTATTAATTAATTCTTAATTAATTGAGAACTAGTAAATAATTAAGTAATAATTAATCAATAACTAAAAAAAATAATTAATGATTAATGAATAGAGAAATATTTATTAAAATAAAATAATTTTAAATTAAAAAATAATAAATTAATAATTCTTATTTAAATAATAATTAATAATAGTTAATAGTGATTTAATAATTAATTAATAATGAATTAATAATCAATTAATAAGTAATTATTATTTAATTAATAATTAATTAATAGTCAATTAATAATAAATAAATAATATAATTAATTAATAAATTTATATTAAAAACTAATTAATTTATATTTAACTATAATTAATTAATAATTAATTACT